GCGTGATGTTTAACAACCCCATACAAAACAATAAAATGTGTAGCAAATTGATATGCTAATCAGAGTAATTCAAAACATGAACTACAGCTTATATGATGGAATGCTAATGTGTGGCATTTAGTCCCAAGACTAAACATTTTGAAGAGGTTGTGCAGATTGTGAATTGAGATCCTTAACTCGACAAAAAAAAAAAAAAAAAAACAACTATCTATGACAGTCCAAATTTTGATTCCCTAAGTGACGGTTATCATTCAGGCTGGACCAGCAGCATGCAGAAAGTTTCAATAAACTTCCATCAGCAAAAATGTACTGTTATTCTGCCTGTAAAGCAATATCAATGCCCGACAGCTTATAATTTAAGTTCCCATCTTATAAACATTTATGCACTTAACTTTAGTTATTGTATTTAACTTTAGTAATGTTAAAAGTCACATTGATGGGCTGTGTTGATTAAAAAAAAAAAAATCACACCTTCTTTGTCCATCATGTTAGTTCTAGCTACTTAGTTTAACACTAGCGGCTCACACACTTTGTAGCTTATTTGAGCCTTGTTTTCACACATGTCAGAGGCTCCTTGAATTCCTCCATTCCACCCCACAAACTCCCTGCATGCCACCTTCTCATCCACCTCTATTTCTGAGGCTCCTTTCAACTCTCCCCAGTGTCTCCCTGCCATGGGGATCCTCCATTTCCACATCCTCCCATGACAGGGTTCCCCAGTTTCCCCCCTCAGCAGTAGCTCTGTGCACCCCCATTCCTGCCCCCCGATACTAGAGAGACTGTGTGCAGCTCCCCATTCCCCACCCATCATCATCTGTCTGGGAGATAAATCAGTCAACATGTTAAATTGTCGGGATGGGGAGGTATGAGATGGAATATTCTACTGGAATACGTTAACGGGTGCCATCAACCAGTTGTTTGATCTATCGACAATTGCAGAGGTGCTTGAAGCTGTAGTAGTGCTAAACAGATGGCAAATGCTCCATGTGTTCCTCGTTTCTTCCTAAATTAATAGGGTTCTAGCCATTGATGCCAAGATCATTCCCTGAAATTTTGGAATTGATCAGATGCAGCTTTCAAAAGTTACCACATTTCAGATAAGAGAAATGCCATCAAGCTAAGCATAATGCCTTCACAAGCTCGGCCAAATGGCTGGAAAGCTCTCTTAATGCTTGTTAAAACACAGGCCAATATCTTTTATCCTTGTGTTAGCCTGCCAGAGTTAAGAGGACTCTCCTATCATGTTAAGCTAACATGACTGAAAAACCACATTATTTTTGCCAAAGACACGGTCATTGACTTGAACATGACTGCTCATGTGCTTAAAGTTAAGCATGTGCATAAGTGCTTGCAGGACAGGGGCCTGCACAGACAAAATATCAAAAGAATGGAGACTGAGTAACAAACAAATGCACCTGTGGTTGAGAGGCACTGCACTTCTAATTAGCTCCATGTTTTAAAACAGATTCTCTGTCTTTAAAATGGAGGACTAAAGTTCATAGGCTAATCTGGAGGACAGTCAGATATAGCATAAAGGAGCAAATCCTGAAACGGAGAGAGCAGGCATCCATTCTGAACATTCCATTCCAAAAATGTAGGTTTGGTATTTTTAACTTGATTCCAGCCAATAAGAAACTTTTACATAAGAATGTTTTAAACAGCTGGCTTTTAAACGTAGAGAGGCTTTGCCAATAGGGACAAACATCACAATAATGTGAGGTGTTTGCTGAATGGCATTACTTAGCAAGAAAATGAAATGACCTAATTTGTGTTAAAAAGCTGACAACTGTTGACAACAGAATAGCAGTTATTGAAATGTTGAGATTTTTAAAGCAGATGGGAGTGACATCTAACAATTATGATTTTCTTTCTGGACCTCTTTTCGTTCCTCTCTACGCAGTACTCAATACTCTCTCCCAGCTCCGACTATGAAACATTTACCACCTCACTTATCCTCCCTTCTGGCCACCCCCTGCATCTTCGGGGTGCAGGAAGAGACAAGCAGCAGCAACTCCAGTCTCTTACCTACACAGATTCTAGCCTTGGCACCTCTCCTCTTCATTTCATTCAGGTTTTTTATCCTCTATTTTTTTTTTTTTTTTTTTGCACAGTCATCCTCAGCAATTCCTGCTACAATCTTACAAACCCTTATAAGCCACATTACTTTCCCAGTACCAAAAACTTACTAAAAATACCTTCAAAATGAGGTGAGAGATCAGAGACCCTCATTACCAAGTGAAGCTCTCACAGTAGGTAGAATGTTCGCTTTTAAAACAAATATATCTCAAGTATTCATTTATTAGTATCACTTAATTTCCTGTGTGTTGGCCAAAAACAGACTGGTGGGAGAAGGGGACTGAAGGTTTCACTGATTCACCAAAGCCCAAGAAAGAAGAAGATTGAAAGTTAAAAAGTGTGAATAACCATAAGGGAATTTAATTCAAACACTGCCGAGGGACTGAGCAACAATCTGAAAACAAAGGCTCCCACATAAAGTTTTAAGAAAATGGAGAGAGATAAGATCAGGTTACATAAGGATCTAAAATGAACTCTAAAACAATAAAAGCATCGTACATTCCCTGGTACCCAGACCCTCGTATCTCAGAGTGAGACTTGCTAGAATTATGTAATGATCAAGTAAAGGTAGTAAAATACATCTAATAAGTAGCAATATAAAAACAGCCAATTGACATATATTATTAACTAAAACTTGTTTACTATTAGTTCATGTTGAAGCCTACCACTTCATTGTGATTCTTAAGTAATCGTATTTGGCATCCATTTAAATTAATTACAGGACTCAAACATACTATGGAGTTAATTCATTAAACATCTTTTACTAAGGCCAGGTCTGAACAAGAATCTTTTCCCAATATTATAACTCTAGATAGGGGAGAGATTTTTGTGTCATTTTTAGACTGATAAAAGCCTTTGTGTTGACACCATTATGCCAATACAACTTATTTTGTTTGGGGAACTGTTATAAGCTATGCCAGCAAAAGCACATTTTTGCCAGAAGCTGTATCTACCTTTTCTAGTGTGGACTGGACCTTAGTGTGTTCACTCAAATCTTACATAATGAAATTCAAGAATGTTTTGCTAAGAAATAGTCCTCTTGACAAATAACCTTGCATAGCAAACACAGAAGTGATTGTGTGACCTACTAAGTAAAGTTAAAACGTGTCATATACTAAATTTGTATCCAGGCTACGTAGTGTGTGTGATGAAACTCCCTTCAAGATTGAAGTACAGATTTGATGAGTAACATTAAAGCGTCAGCTGAAGACAACTGATATTTAAATACTAACTTGAAAATCCACTTTAGAATGTCTTAAATGCTTAAAGCCGTTCCAGTGTGGTTGGACAATTGTATTCTACACTCTCACACTATGGCTATCATGCAGCATTAAACTTTACTTGACAAAAAACACAATTTATGTAGTTCTATAACTTTAGCATCATTCCCGTCAAGTGGGCTCCATTTGACAATGACCCTGAAATATCTTATATAAGAATTCTATGCTAGCTTTATCTTAAGGCTTTTACATAATATAAATTGGAAGCTAAGGTACAGTTTATCTCCCTCAATACAGTACTATTTAACAAGAACTGCAAAATGCCAGCTCCTGAACACACGTTACAAAGATGAGGTGTACCAAGGAATTAGAAAGCTCTTCAGCTTTCACAATGTTGTTATAAAAAGCAAACTGAAACTTGAAAGTGAACAACATGAGTAAACAACAAAGCATAAGAAATTAACACTTCATTCTAGCAGGTTGCACTCAGGTTTTGGCTGAATTTTAAAACATTCAGCCTTGCCTAGCAAAAGCCTCTTTTGGGTCTAACTGAATCTACAGGGGACAGAAAGAAAAAACACAGAAGACAAAAATGAAGTACGAAGAACATTCTAAGAATTTGCAAGAATATCATCATGCCAGAACAAGACATATGCAAGAAATAACATCTTGAACACAGAAGTGAAATATATAATACTTGTATATACTTCATATTTCTATAAACTAAGTAGCTGGTATTGGAATTCCCATTCCTCAGGCTTCCCAACACATTAGGACACAAAAATCACTTACTAATGGCAGATTCAGTGCCTTCACTCTTTCATATGAAGAGCACAAGGAACCAATAGTTACCTAGTAAGATGCAGTTTATGCTAAATTCAAGAGCAAGGCTAGTTCCTTGACAACAAAAAGCCACTTGACTGCGCAGGATTGAAAAAAAATCCTGCATTCATTTGTGCACTCCTAGTGGCAACAATTTAAAGTGGAAGAGAAAGTTATAATTTTTTTATTAACACTAATGTTAAAGTTATATAATACATAGGTTAAGAAAAGAGTGTTTGTACATCTAGGTATAGTGCTTACATTATTCACAGATACAAAGTTTGTTTTGTCATAAGATACATACATTAAACAAGAGATCTGAAGCAGTACAAAAAAATCTTGCAAGGGGACACATTTTGCATTGATACAGTTTTTACTATAAAATTCAATATGTAATTATTACATAGTTAGTTATCTAGAAAGTCACAGGTTTATAGTCAGACACAATGTGGATGATTTAATATCTTTACTGGACCAACTTCACACAGAAGAGCTCTGGGTAAGGTCTAAAGCTTGTCTCTCTCACCAACAGAAGTTGGTCCAATAAAAGATATTATCTCACTCACCTCCTCTTTCTAATATCCTCAGATCAGAACGGCTACAACGCTGCATACAATTATTATAGTCAGGCATTTGCAGCAGAGTAGATTTCACTGAAGTTTACCTTTGCAAACATTATTTTCAAATGAAACAATGGAAAGATTTCACTATCTACAAGAAAGCTACACTTTTAATTCAACAATTTTTCTAGCAACTAACATGAAATTAAGGCTCCAGATAAAGTCAGAGCTGGTTTCCATGAAGAGGAAAAAAAATAGCTACACAAACTCTAGGCCCACCCTGTCCTGGAATCAGAGAAATAAATTCAAACACATGTCTTACCTGCTTAGTTTTCTTTCAACTTCTTTGGTAGCTTTAGCTTCCAATTCTCTGGAACAGAAAGGGATGCTGGTTACCATGTCAACAGAAGAGCAGAACAAATATAATTGGGGTGGGTTTAAAAGAGAGACTGATCTCCATGTGTTGGTTCCTCATGGGGGAGAGGTTAGCAATGATCTCTGAATACAGGCATCCATAGGTTTTTATCTTGGGATGGAGGGAGAATAGGGATGGAGCAAAACATACAGACACCAATTAATCTATTTTTCCTCACACTCCCTTAAAACCTTTTGTTAAACCACAAAAAATAGTAAGTGTCTCTTCCATTAAAAAGGGAAGAGGGAAAAACGGTGCTTAACCGTGTTAACCTAAAAATAAATAGAAGGCAAGAGATGAGCAGTATGCTACACAGAGACCTGACTCTGAATTATGGCCAGACAATAATGACATATGAACGCAGGAGATCAAACCTCCAGCACAGTGGAACACCGGACCAAGGGCAGGAGATTAAACCCCAAACACATGACCAGCGCCATTCTGGGCAAGTGTCGGATGCGTTTTATCCCACAGAAACCCACGATCCGGTCTTTTTTAAACTTTGACAGCGCTTGCTTAGCGTGTGAGGAGAATAAACTACCAATGCAGAGCCCTGGTTCTGGGGGAGGCGAGCCAGGCACCGGCGGAGAGCGGAGCTGGGGAGCAGAACACTCCTCTCTCCCGCTGGCCACAGCCACAGTTTCGGTCGGGTTGGGCAGCCCTTCCGCAGCACTGGCTAGAGACACTCAAATGGTTTGAACCAGGTTACCCCCAGGCCCCAGCGGCAGCAGGGACGTGTTAACTGAAACGAACAGCGGCGCAGCCCGAGGGCACCCGCCGTGCAGCCTAGCCCAGGGCGGGACGGGAGCTACCCTCCAGGACGGCCCGGCCAAAGGGGCGCATCGCCCATCTGGCCCCGTCCCTGCCCGGCAAGGGGCTCTCCAAGGCCACGGAGATAAATGAAGACGAGTGTCCCGCTCCCCCCCCCCAGCCCCATATCCCGGCGCCCGCCGCTGCGCTCCGCAGCCTCCCCCAGCGCCCCCCGCTCCGCGCCCTTCACGCCTCCCCGCCTATCACCTCATGTAGGTAAAGTGCTCGGAGTCCGGCCCGGGATGGCTGCGGCCCGGGCCCGGCGCTGGCTCGGCGGCTCTCTAGGCGGCCTGGGCCCGGCACAGTGGAGCTCGGGGGCCCGGCAGCTGCTGCAGCAGCGTCGCCGCCATTTCCTGCCTCCGTCCTAACTTGGCCGGGTCCGGCGCTGGCCCGCCGCACCGGAAGAGAAATCCCGCCGGGGATATCACTTCCGGGGCACCAAATCCCCCAACATGGCGCCCTAGCAACTCCCTAGCAACCCGGAGAGCAGAGAACACCCCTCCCCCCAGACCCCTAATGGCGAAGGATGCGCCGCAAAGAGACACCCCCTGGACATCAGCACTAGCTCCCCAGGCGGACACCCGCCTAGAACAGCAAGCGTGAGGCCCCCCTCCCCGAGAGAAAGAAACCCCCTGCAAAGACCCTCCTTCCCCGGCTCCCCCTACACTACCCCACAAAGAGCGTCCCACAACCGCCTCTCCTGGGTCCCGGCGTCCCTGCCACACACAGCCCGGGGCTCCAGGGAAAGGTTTTGCTGGCCGCATGCCCGGGGCGGCAGGTTTGTATCCTTTTTTGTGTGGCGCCCAGAACAGGTCCAAGTTCCGCCCCTGCATATTGGTGCACATAACAAAATGAATGGGGTGGAGATGAGGGCTGGGGCTGAGGGGTTTGGGAGGAGCTCGAGGCTGGGGCAGAGGGTTGGGGTGCAGGGGGGTGAGGCAGGGGATGAGCTGCAGGGGGGGCAGAGGGTTGGGGTGCAGGGGGATGAGATGCAGGGGATGTGGGCAGTGGGGGCAGGGGATGAGAAGTTTGGGGTGCAGGCAGGCTGCCCTGGGGCTAGGGCTAGAGAGGAGGGCTCCACAGGCCCCCCAGCCCTTTTGCACCCCCAGCAGGACACTCATCCAGCACCGACCCTGCACGTGCTCATAGGGGCCGGGCCCCTCTCAGGTGCAGGAAGCCCCCTTGCCTCCCCTGTGGTGGGTGCCAGGGGGAGGGGGAGCTGCCATCCCATGTGCGCCCCTCCCTCAGCCTGCCACCGGCGCCGCTCCCTTGTGTAGCCGGCAGCGGCTGGCAAGGGAGCACAGCGCGGAGCGACAGTGCAGCCACCCGCTGCCCACTGCGCAGACAGGGACGCTCCGGGGGAGGCACGTGAGGGTGGCAGGTAGGGCTGGGGGACACTCCGGGGGATGAGCACGGGGCAGTAGGCAGGGCAAGGGGAGAGACCCGGCCCCAAATGTTGCTGGAGCTGGGCCCCTGGGCCCTGAATTTGCTGGAGCACGGGTACCAAAGGCCCATATAACTCACCGCCCTTACTCATGCTGCAGGTTAGGAGTATGAAAAAAATCCCAACCTTCCCTGCCCGTGCTTTGTACCCACATTCGCTGCTATTCCAGGAAAAGCCCTACTGTCTGTACCAGCAAATCCTTGCCTGTCTAGACAGGACCACAGAGAGCTCCTTCTGCAGAGACCCCCCTCCATGGTGACATTACAACCTACCCTTACAGTGTGAGCTCTATAGTACAATTCCCCTCCCGGACCTGAGCCAAACCCTACCCCTTATGTGAATCCCTCCCCCCCGCCCCCATAATCTGTGATTTGAACTGCTACTTTAGAGATAGACGTGGAAGAATTAGATTTTTTTTTTCTGTAAATGTCAATTTCACCACACAGACACAAATGAAAAAAATATTTTCAACAGTAATCATAATTTACAGGTAGGCAAAGTAAAAAAAAATGCTGCTTGAAAACTTGTAAGAGTTTGATTTAAGAATATTTACTGTATATTTCAACAAGGACAAGTGTAGAGTCCTACACTTAGGAAGGAAGAATCCCACGCACCGCTACAGGCTGGGAACCGACTAGCTAAGCAGCAGTTCTGGAGAAAAGGACCCGGGGATTACGGTGGATGAGAAGCTGGATATGAATCAGCAGTGTGCCCTCGTTGCCAAGAAGGCCAACGGCATATTGGGCTGCATTAGTAGGAGCACTGCCAGCAGATCAAGGGAAGTGATTATTCCCCTCTATTCGACACTGGTGAGGCCACACCTGGAGTATTGTGTTCACTTTTGGTCCCCTCCCCCCCCCCCACGGAAGGGATGTGGACAAATTGGATAGAGTCCAGCGGAGGGCAACGAAAATTATTAGGGGGCTGGGGCACATAACTTACGCGGAGAGGCTGTGGGAACTGGGGTTATTTAGTCTGCAGAAGAGAAGAGTGAGGGGGGATTTGATAGCAGCCTTCAACTACCTGAAGGGGGTTCCAAAGAGGGTGGAGCTCGGCTGTTCTCAGTGGTGGCAGATGACAGAACAAGAAGCAATGGTCTCAAGTTGCAGTGGGGGAGATCTAGGTTGGATATTAGGAAACACTATTTCACTAGGAGGGTGGTGAAGTACTGGAATGGGTTACCTAGGGAGGTGGTGGAATCTCCATCCTTAGAGGTTTTTTAAGGCCTGGCTTGACAAAGCCCTGGCTGGGATGATTTAGTTGGTGTTGGTCCTACTTTGAGCAGGGAATTGGACTAGATGACCTCCTGAGGTCTCTTCCAACCCTAATATTCTACATGTGCTGTAGAATTAAGAAAAGGACACAGAAGGGCAACAAAAATGATTACGTGTATAAAACAGCTTCTCTAAGAGGACATACTTCCATAAAAAGGCTGGGGCTGTTCAGCTTAGAAGAGAGATGACTAAGGGGAGATATAAGTCTATGAAATCATGAATGGTGTGGAGAAAAAGAATACGGAAGTATCATTTATCTCATAACACAAGAGCCAGGGGTCACCATCTGAAATTAATAGGCCGCAGGTTTAAAACAAACATAAGGCAGCATTTCTTCACACAACACACCATCAGCCTGCAGAACTCATTATCTGGGGATGTTGTGAAGGCCAAAAATATAACTGTGTTAAAAAAAAGAAGAAAAGAATTAGATAAGTTCATGGAGGATAGGTCCCTCAATGACTAGTAGCAAAGATGGTCAGGGACACAGCCTCATGCTGTAGGTGTCCCTAAGCCTCTGATGCCAGAAGCTGGGACTTGACAACGGGATGGATCACTCGGTAAATGCTCTGTTCTGTCATTCCCTCTGAAGCATCTGGCACTAGCCTCTGTCGGAAGACAGGATACTGGTCTAGATGGACCATTGGTCTGTCCTAGTATGGCCATTATTATGTTGACACTTTGTGTTTTAAGGGTTATAAAGCTTTAACTTTTTAAATCTCAATATCTACGGTCATTAAATAATTATTGTCTGATCCCCTCTAATTTCCTGCAACTGTGAAATATTAAATAGATAAATACAAAAGAATGCTTAAACAGATAGTATATGTTGAAATTATATTAAAAAAAAAATCTAATTCTGCCTATTTATAGGGTGATACATCGCCACACAGTGCATGCAAGAAATCCATCCCTGGGGCATGAAACCCCCACCATGAAAGACCTCCTTATTTATATACATAAAGAACATGAGACCTGCCTGAACCCCAGCAGCATCAGACCTATAGAACTTGGGGGGAAGGGATAGCTCAGTGGTTTGAGCACTGGCCGGTTAAACCCAGGGTTGCGAGTTCAATCCTTGAGGGGGCCACTTAGGGATCTGGGGCAGTACTTGGTTCTGCTAGTGAAGGTAGGGGGCTGGACTTGATGACTTTTCGGGATCCCTTCCAGTTCTATGAGATAGGATATCTCCATAATTTGTGTTGCCATATATTCAATGGACCAATCCTAGTTTTGAATGGGAACTGTCTTGTGTCCTGCATCCAGCAAGACAATAAAATTGCCCTGAGATACCTTTGGGACACAACACAATCATCTCAATATTGCAATAGACAGACTATTGCCACAGTATAAAATATGGTAACTCTGTAATGTAACCACAAGTGCCACCGTGACAGTCAACTTGGACAGGGAGAGTCTCTCTTAATAAGTCAGTTCCTTCAGCCACCATGTGAGTAGTTTTGATCTAATTTCTCAACATCATTAGGTTACTTAAGTGACTGGAATTGAACAGAATTTCAAGCCATGTCTCACCAATATCACAGAGAGAGAGACTATCACTTCCCCGAGCAACCTAGGAAGATGCAAAGCAAGTAGCTAGGAGAGTAACAACACACCATTTCCATAAAGTATTTTTTTCTGACCATTATTTTATTTTCTGGGCAGTGTCAGTGTGCTCAGCTCTGTATAAAACACAGCAGAAGAACACACATTTTGAGGAATCAGTATTAACTTACTAGGTAAGCATCAGAAGTAAGACAATAGTCTGCAATCCCTCTAAAAATGAAGAATGTAAGAAAAAAGAAGGGGTTAATGTGTTTTCAAAAAAGACTGCTAATTAAAATAGGAGGTAAAAAAAAATATTGTACTAAAAATGGAAAAGAAGGAAGCTCACCAGCATGGCCACTATCCACTACTCTCTCTGCATTCAAGTCATTCCTGAAGACTTTTCTGCCACAAATGCTACTATGGACATTATTATTTATTTATATTACCGCAGCGCCTAGGAGCCCTGGTCATGGACCAGGACTCCATGGTTCTAGGTGCTGTACAAACACAAAAAGCTGGTCCCTGTTCTGAAGAGCTTACAATCTAAGTATAAAACAAGAATACAGACAGACAGATGGGGAAATGAGTCAATATTGATCAGCCTGATAAGCAGTGGTCTCCCCCCATAAGCAGCCTATCCATTGTCAAGTTTTTTATAGGTATCATGGAAAAGGAGAGTTTTGAATAATGAAGTAGCTTTGTGGATAATCACAGGGAGCTCCTTCTTCCAATAATGAAGTGCAGTGTGGAAGAAAGCACAGAGGTGCGTATTTGAAAATTTAACAAGAGAGTGATGGAGGATGACATTATGGGCCATCCAGAGGCATCTTGATAGTCAATGAGAGATAAGTAGAGTGGGGATAGACCATGAGGGCCTTGAAAGTGAGAACAACCAGCTTATGTTAGATGCAACAAAGAATGAGGAGTCAGCGTACTGACTGATATGTTTGAAGAGTAATTGGGACTAATATAAAAAAAGTGTTAATTTAACATTACTGAGACATAGTCAAGCACTCCCTTGACCATGCTACTCATGTATTACATAGCTTTCCCCCATCTTTTTGTCAGTCTTTAGATTGTG